AAAAAAAAAAAAGGACGGTGTGCTTACGGCCTCTCTTGATTTTCTGCTGCTTCTCAAAATGTTTCCTTCCGCCTGGGGCCTTCCCAAGCCTTCTTCACAGAGAGGAAATGAAGGAGCAGCAAAGGTGTATCCCTCAAGTGAGATTTTCACCCAAACCTACAAGGTTTCATGCCTCTTCCACAAGGCGGAGGAGAATTGCCTGTTCTCAGGCTGACGAGGAGGAGGAAGTGACACAGAATGGAGCAGTCTGCCTGGCAGTATTTTTCCTGAGTAACACACTGGATTCAAGGCAACCCTTCAAGGCATCCAGCGGAGCGAAGGGAAGCTGAGCCTTCTCCAACTCAGTTCAGTCGGCTGCTTGCGTTGGCTTTCTCCCCACCACAAAAGCTCACCTTGGCTCCGAAAGGGAGGCAGCCTGGGCTTTCTGCCAGTTCTTGAAATTTGATAAAAGCTTCACACAAAACACCCCTTCAAAAGTTTTCCTTTTGTTTCTACCCCAGAAGATTTTTCCTGGAATCTTCCAACTTCTTTTGGCTTTTTTAATTATCAGGCATGGAGGGAGCAGAGGCCAAAGTCACTGGATCCTTTCCCCAAATTGTTCAGTCCAAAGCTTGTGTGCGTGTTTGCAAGATGTACTTGTGGCTTCCGTGTCCCCGTTATTTCTAAATACGGAGAAAGGGTCCTGTCGCAACTCCCCTCTTTTTTTCCTAAACTTTTAATCCAAGAGGTTGAGAAGACTGAAAGGTCCCACTTGACTGGTAGAGCTGCAGCTCCAAGATTGCCATCTGGGCTCATGTGATCTATCTCTCGTGGGGTCCGTTAAAGACCCCACATCCTTGTTGAATTGGGCTGGTTTGAACAGCGACTTCCTTTGTGGCCCAGCGGTTGCACTGCTGCTCTCCCTGGATAAGCTCTGGCCCACAGAAGCCACAAAGGGCACCGACGCATTTTTTAGAAAACAATTTGAAGAGGGGGACTTGAAATAAAAGGTCTGCATGACGTCACATGATAAAAATGCCCCCCTGTCGCCCCCACCCCAAAGTGCTTTTGCACCACTTGCTCAAAGGTGGCCGGGAAGAAACCACTTGTTGCAAGAGCGGGAGGCAAGCAGAAGAGCCCTTGGAGGCGTCCAGAACAGCCTGGAGAGGGTGAGGTCAGGCAGGGAAGTTGCTCAACTGGACTGAGCAGGTTTTTCTCCGCTGGGCAGCTGCTGCTCCCAGTCCAGGAAAGGCCCAGCCCCGCTCAGGCAACAATGAGAGGCCCCACGGAGGACGGGGAGGAGGAGGAGGAGGAGGAGAGCTTTCCAGGCCTCTCTCGGCTGCAACTCGCCGCTGCACAAGCAGGCAGCCTGCCCCCCCCCAAAGAAACTCACGCCCCCGCTAACAGGGCAAATCTGCCATTGAAGTCGCAGCCCCCCCCCTCTTGGAACATGCAGCCCCACCCCCGAAGGAAGGCCAGAAGCCCGAGGAAAAAAGTTCCCTCCCCGAAGGCAGCTGCGGGCACGCGGGGAGGGGCGGCTGCGGCTGACCCCTTTCCCGGCTCTGGGCAATTTTGCCCGACAGCAGCTGTCCCGGCCGCCTCGTCCTGGCTCCGGTCTCCTCTGGGCCAAGCCGGGAAGAAAGGAAGCAGGGAGGCTGGGAAGAGCAGACGGCAGAGCCGGCCAGGGGCTCCCGGGAGATTCTGGGGGGCTGGGAGGAAAAGGGGGAGGGG